GAGGAGTCGGCGCATGAACAGCTGCGTGTTCTGGAAGCAACATTCCCACACAGAACCAGCCGTCCCTTCGTAACAACGTCTGTTCCCATGTAATTCCGTAGCACTTCAGAGAATCCCTTTCCAGACATAAAAGCAAAACTTTAGATGTAACATCTCACTTTTATTGTCTTCACGCACTAACAGTGCATTTCAAAACATCTTCAGGTTTGGTTGTCAAACACAAGCAGCAAAATCTGTTTCATTTCTTTAAAATCATTTGAATGCCAACAGCAAAATGGTCTCACGAGTCACGAAAGGAGAGTCTGCTACTGCATGAGGTTCTTCCTTGATCCAGCTTCGGTTGCTTTTGCTTCTGGTAGGCTACAAAGCCAAGAGATCTTGGGAGAAAAACAAACCACAGCAGTGTCTCACCTGCAGAAACCACATTCTAAAGTCCGACTAGCTTGCCCTGCCACCAAACAGGCACTCAGCTAAAGCAGAGAACTCCGCGCCGTTGCTGTCGTAGCTGTTCACCAAGAGCTGCTGGTGCTCAGGACTGACGGAACACTGCAGGGAGTCGGCCACCTCTGTCTCCTTCTTGGAGCTTAATCCATCAACTACCACACTTCTCAGCTGCTTTACGTTGAAATGGAAACAGAACTGGCAGTGCTAGAGTTTGGATCACAAACATTTTGGGGGTTTTTGAGCTTGCTTGCACAAGCAGGGCAGGACTGGCTCCAGCTAAAGCGGTATCTCCCCTCTTGAGTTCACCATCTAGTTGGAATTAACCAAAGGGATGTGGATTCCTTCGATTCACTTTTGGCAGCGCAGAGAGACTCCAGCAAAATTACTGATGAAGACAGCCTGGAAAAGCCTTTTGCAAACAGTCTGTGCCTGAAGCTTCCCAGGCTTTGCCTTGGCTTACACCATCCAAGTCTTCCAAAGAGGAGAAAAGCCTTAAAACCAACTGCCTGAGACACTCGGACTGAGTACGCGTAAAATGCAAAGGTCTCGCCGTGGGACTTGCACAAGCTGCACAGGACTAAATATTTTAAAGCACTGCCAGCAGCCATTCCCTGTCACCTGCCTACAGTTTTCAATGTTAAAAGCCCTCACCTTTGCAGACCGAACCAGCATGATGATCTCAAAACCAAGGATGCTCTGTCTCCAGCCAAGCTCTGGCAGGGTGGTTTGGCTCAGTGATCCCGCAGTATTTCACGATTTACGCTCTGTTTTTCAGTATGTTCTTTATACGGGCAGGAAGCTCTCTAAGACCAAAACGAACCTACCAGAAGACATGATTTCAACCATGAAATTAACTTCTATTTTCAAAGGACAGAATTTTTCTTCAGAAAACTGAGAAATCATTTAGTTGAAACTAAATCCTGAACTTTCCCCCTAGAGGACCGAACACCAAGCTTCCTCTGGACTCCAGAGAAGCTTCAAACTGTAGGAGAAAGAACAACTAATGATGAAAACAGAAGCTTTTACACAGGTCATCTCCTGAAAGCAACCCCTAGAGCTCTTCTCCGAAGGAAAATCTAACCATTACGCAGCCACCAGTCAAGAAAGGCCTGTGCTGGGACTTTTTGGTGGAGAAGGAGCTCAAACAGTTCTGAGGCCCAGGCAAACAAGCAGGAGATGGTGCCAGTTGCAGTTCCAGAAGCCCAAAGCAGCTGTTTCGACCTGCTGGACGGAGTCACACCAAGTATTCTTTCTGGCCCAGATCACAAACCACCAGATTAAGACCAGTTCAGAGTCTCATTTTGGGTTGGTTAGTTTTCTTCTGTATTTTGCCTGAGAAGCAGAATAGCACATTCTCCGAGCATTTTTGGGTCAGAACGTTACAGGGCATGGGAAGAGTACTCAAAGACACTTGATTTCTGGAGTCTGCAGTTCTTCCACAGTATTGTGAGAATATTCATTATAAAAGATGCATCAAGAAATTCAGATCACATTAAAAGGAGGCAAGCTGAAACGCATCATTCTTGAGCATAGGCATTTCCAAGGGAATTCTGCCTTTAGAGTACATGTCTCCATAGCAAGCATGGAAGAGGACACATCCCACCACCTTAAGGCCTTTTCAAACAGATCCCAACCATCCCTTTTGCCTTCCCAACATCTTCAAAAGAGTCCATCCTATCATTTTTTTCCACCGATACATAAAATCCTGTTGACTTTCAGCTTACATCAGCATTGCTTCTGTTACTAGATTTCCATTACAAGAAGTAGCAGTTACTGAGCTGTAAAAGGTTACAGTACTCGGAAAAATCCGAACAAGTCGGGCATCTTCACACAAGGTTTGCTTTGTCCTTTCCAGGATCATTTCAACATTTTGTCAGGACTCCTCAACACAGACAAACTTAACAAGACCAATACTTTATGTCCACATGTGAGAATTCCAGACATCTCATTTAGGCAGACTACCCTGGTCTAGTTTCTTCCTTTAGCTTCTCAAGGTGAGTTTAACCACCTACATCTGATTAATAAAAAACAACGTTCACGGTTATGCATATAAACCAAAAAAAAGTGTTCTCTAGCTTTCCTCTGAAAGCCACTGGGAGATTTTTGCAGTTTCACATGGAAAAACACCCTCACAAAAGCTTCAATAAGCATCTGTGTCACTAATCTACCAAGTTTAAAATTTGATAGTCATTTTACAAAGGTCCAAGTGCAACACAACCCACCTAGAGGAGGATCTTGTCGCTGCTAAACAAGAGTGACACTCTTCAGAGGATGGAAGATGTTCCTTCTCTAACTTCACCTTTAGGCAACACCACGTTTAACAGAACCTGGTGAAGCAGATACTTTCGCTGCACTGGACTCTGATTACAGAGGAAAACAAAGCAACACACTGGTATTACACAGAGTAGAGTAAGGCTCTATGGGGTAACATATGCATGAGCATAACATTTTCTTCTAAAACTTTGCTTTCTGGTCCTCACCTGCTATCACAGAATCCACCTGTTTGGCCTCTTTCAAAATAGTTTTTCTTCTGCTGATAGTAATTGGGCTCCATCACAATTTATTCCCATCCAACATTCTGGGTTTAAGGCTCTGTTTTACACTGACCCAACTATTACAGCAGCGGCATCAGCCAGCCGGCCGTTCATCCTGCCAGCATGGAAGCTGAAAGCACAGGAGTAACTGAAGACAAAATTCAAAGACCCTTCTGCAGCAAAGCGCTTAAAACAAATGAAACCGTTTTCAAAAGCTCTTGACAATTTTATTTAATGCTACTAGAAAAATTCAAGACTTCCAAAATGTCTCTCTCCCTACGCGTGTCACGCAATCCCATGGCATCCCTAAGACCCCTCACGTTGTGCTGTTAAGTCTCTTCCCAGACATTCTCCTGAAAACAGTTTAAATATCTACAGATAAACAGGGAGCTTTAGGTCCAACCACTTTAAAGGCTGGGGCTGAAGCTACAGTCACTGCAGTGTGCATGCTAGTCAGTTTTCATACACGAAACTGGAAGAGGAAAAAAACACATTTTAAAGAGAAGACTGCTGTAAGAGTGTCACAGAGCCACAGGAAAAAAAAAAAAGAAATTTAATGTTTAAGGAATGAAAACACTTTGTGTTTTCGACACACCAGTGTTGCTAGTGAGCAGTGTCTGCCACAGCCACAAATCCATTTTTCCAATGCAGTGGAGTAAAACAAGTTGAAGACAAAATTAAGTCACCAAAACAATGGTTTTTCCTCAAATTATCCAGCAGTTCTATTTCTATCACTTTCATCTTTCCCTGCCAGATTTCAAAGAAATCTGGAAATCTGTAATTTTACAATATTCTCCCTTATTTCCTTATTATTTTACCTAGAAGAATTCCAGCAAACCCAAATTTTTGTAAGCACTGTATGTTGCACATCAACCTGGTATTCTTCGACGCCCAGCTCCGCGTCTAGACGACAGATCTGAAGGTCGTTGTCAGAACAGCAGCTACAAAAGAGCCTCGTGAGGCCCCCAACATGGGTCATGGCTACCGAGGGTGGCTGAATCGCGTTATCACTTCCCACCCCACTCAACCCCTGGCACCGTGCGCCCTCCCAGTCCCCCCAGACAGCGGTGGGACAGGCCCCGGGTGGACACATGCTATGCAGGGATGAGCCACAGCACGGCTCCCACAGGACATGGCCACCGCACGGCGGTCAGCATCACTGCCCGCCAGACGGTTCCCGACACCCGACGCACCTTCTGTGGTCCAGGCGTTGGCAATCCACAGGTCACAGCTGATTGCCTTCAGCTTCACACCGACCATGATCTGGCGCTTGAGGTCACGCAGGGAGATGTGGGGTCTGTTGAAGGTGATGGTATCACAGCTGAGCTTCAAAAAGAACTGGTGGTGGACGCCCGACATGGTGGGGGCCAGGCAGCACCCGATCCCTCTTGCGCGCAGCATTCGCAAGGCGCGACCACTTGCTATGGCAATGCAGGCACCCGCACGGGGGGATCATAGAATCATAGACTGGTTTGGCTGGGGAGGGGCCTCCAAAATTCTCCCCGTTCCACCCTGCCATGGGCAGGGACACCCTCCACTACACCAGGTTGCTCAAAGCCCCATCCAGCCTGGCCTTGGACACTTCCAGGGATGGGGCAGCCACAGCTTCTTTGGGCAGCCTGGTCCAGTGCCTCAGCACTCTCAGAGTGAAAAATTCTTTTCTTATATCCAATTTAAATCTCCCCTCTTTCAGTTTAAATCCATTGCCCTGTGTCCTGTCACTCCACGCCCTTGTAAAAAGCCCCTCTCCAGCTTTCCTGTAGCCCCTTTAGGCACTGGGAGGCTGCAATAAGATCCCCCCGGAGCCTTCTCTTCTCCAGGCTGAACAGCCCCAACTCTCTCAGCCTGTCTCCAGAGCAGATGTGCTCCAGCCCTCGGATCATCTTCATGGCCTCCTCTGGACCCGCTGCAACAGCTCCATGTCCTTCTTGTACTGGGGACCCCAGAGCTGAACACAGTATTCCAGGGGGGGTCATGACCAATAAGGATAGTATTGCAGCTAAAACTAAAATTAATAGGCCCTGTACACACGAGGTTTGTGTAGGCATACCCATTCATCCACATGCAATTCATCCAAAATTCCTGAAAGAGAGGAAAAAAAAGGAACCACGCTCGGTTGCGAATACAAGTGGCAAATGTTAATTGAAATAAGGGTATTGTCCACCCTCTGCAGTGCTTGGTACGAGTGCCATTAATGGTGCAGTGCCTGCTGGGGCTGCCGGATTACTCCAAGTCCTTTGAACTATTTGTGCATGAGAACAAAGAAGAAGGCAGCAGAGTCTGGACCCCAACAGCTGAGTCCACACCACCACCCGGTGCCTCTTACTGGATCCTGGAGCCACAGGGAATAACTCCTGTGTTAAAGCCATAGCAGCCACAGCAACTATCATGGGGGAAAAAAAAAAGCAGATCATGAGTCCTGGGTCACCCAAGAACCGCCTGTGTCCAGCGTGAAGTAGGACTGACTCGACGCTATACAAGCATCGTCACCACAAAGAGCGCGTCGCTATGAACTAATGATTCCAAATGCACGGAATATTTCTTTAAAAAGATGTCATGTTTTGAACTCAGCAACTTTGCTGCCTGTTCCCATTGATGGTGAGGAATTTGTTATTAATTATTCATATTAATAATTGTTTTGTGTTAATATTAATAATATTGATTCATTTTTATTTATTAATAATTCCCACCTACCAGAATTAAGAGATTGGACTTGGGGATCAAGTGCTGGGTGGCACAAGCATAACAGAGGTGTGATGTGGGGTAGGGAGTACCTCTCTGGAGGCACCCAGCTCGAGTCGTCACCTGAGAACTAATAAAAGCAGCAGCAGGATCTGCAGGGGCTCAGCAGGGGCCACGCCAGAGGACCCTTCAGGGGACCCTTCAGGGGATCCTTCCAGGGACTCTCCGGAGGACTCTCCTTTGAAGTCTCCGTGGGACTCTCCTGAAAAGGCTCCCTGGGACTCTGCCAGCCAGGTGGGGAGGACCGTCACCACCACACCCTGCTTCCTCTTGGGATCCAGCAAGGGGGACATCACCACCCCCCAGGAGGGGTCAGCGTCCCCCAGCATCACTGCTGCCTCTCGGTCCTCGGGGCAGTCACCCTCTAACCTGCGCTCCGAGAAGCTGGGGAGCTGTCTGAGGAAGGCAGGGCTGTCAGGAACGTCAGGGACATCAGGGACAGTGGCCTCACCGGCCCCCATCCCCGCTACCTCCACATGCTCCTTGAGGCAACCACCCTTCACCACGTACTCAGAGAGGTCAGGGAGCTCGTGGAGGAAGGCGGTCAAGCTGGGGCTGTCAGGGACTTCAGGGACAGTGTCTGTGCCACCCGCAGGGTTGTGTCGGGTGAGCATAGTATTGATGTTGGTGCCACCTGCCTGCTGAGGAAAGACCTCGGCGGAGGCATCTGGCCCCTGCTTGGGGGCTTACCTGGGGCTGCAGGGGGGGGGTCACCGCTGCTGAAAAAGTAAACAAAGCCAACCCAAACCCAGGGTGATACAAGCTTTTCTTCACCATGGGCCACCTGCACGAACACTCTGCCACCCCCCAAAACTCACCTTTGGGCTTCATCGGGGTTCTACCAGTCAACAGCCAAGGTGGGCTGGTGGGGGCTGGCAGTGGGGATGCTGTCCTTAATGGCCACTGCATCCTTGGTGGAGGTCTCCGATGGCTTCTGGGCACTGCCAGGCAGGGTGTGGAGAACAGCGGGGCCCTGCTCCAAGTGCTGAGCTGCGGGGCAGCGAGGTGGCGGGGCGGGCAGGGATGCGCAGCAGGTAGGAGCCCATGGAGTACAGGGGCTCGCTCCCCTGTACTGCCTTGTGGGGGGGTCCGTCCCCATGGCGATCGTTCTGCCAGCAGCTGCTTCAGCCAGTCTTGCCAGGTCAGATTTTTCACACAACAACTTCCCATCTCAGCGATTTCCCATTCTACTGTCCTCAGGGATGATTTCCCATCCTGGTGATGATTTCCCATCCTGATGATGGCTTCCCATCTCAATGATGATTTCTCAGCCCCGTGATGGTTTCCTATCCCAGCGTTTTCCCATCCCCATGATTTCTCATCCCAGGCACGATTTCTGAGGGGAAGGTGAATCGCCTGTCCAAGGGGAAGTGATGGGGCCGGTACTGGTGGCCCTGCAATGTCAACATGTGTGTGCTGCCCCATCCCACCCCAGTGGCGGGGATCGGGGATTAGGGCCCTTTTGAGTTGCTTCTGTCCTCTCCTGGGAGGCAACTGCTGCTACCAACTGTGGTGGAACTGGTGCCAGTACCATGTTGGGGAGCTGTCAGGAACATTTGACAACTGTCCAGTGACGACTGAAGAGAGAGCCTGGGATGCAGAGTGCAGCATCACAAGATGAATTCTTGCATTCATGCACACGAGCTGTCTCGTTCAAGCTGGGGCACCCTGAGTGCAGTTTCACTCATGGTTCTTACGCCTTTCAAGCTTTCAGGTACAACATGATTTGACCAACCACTACTTAACACATGGACACGTGATGCCGTTTTGCAGCTCCAGTTCTGTGGCATCGTCACCCATCTGCTTCTTTCTTGATCTAGACATCCCTAGACTTGGTCTTGCTGCAGTTCCTTATCTCTGATGCCAGGTAAGGGGAGGGTTTCACAGAGGTGTTGGAGGGGCTGGGATGCTGGTGTGATCTTGGTAGTCCTTTCTTCTTCAGGGTGGGGGCCGTCCTTCTCCTTGCAATGAGCTGGAGTCCTTTAGTCGTGCTGACTGAACCACGGCTGTGCAGTAAACAACGTAAACTATCTATCTATCCCAAGGAACTTGATCCAATTTCATACTCTCAAGATTAATTGATGCAATAGTTGGGGAATGGATTCTCATGAGAACCCTTGGGATGACCTCAGGAGGTGCTTGTAGGAGTTGCTTGTAGTGGGATGGGGGATGTAGGTACTGGGGGCAATGGTAAAAACACGGGGTGGGGATGGTGTTCCTGGGGATGCGGGTAGCAGCCTGAGACGAGGGGCTGGGGCAGGCAAGAGGCACCTCTGTTGGAGCTGAAGGCCTGTGACACAGCTTTGGCCAAATGAGAACTCAGTTTCTGGGCACTTGTCACCCACAGTGCTTTGCCTCAGTCTCGAGTCATTGGTCAGTCCTGCAAACCCTCAGCTGCACAGCCCCAGAGCAGCAAGGGCCTGGGTACATTCTGGTTTCGCTCGGTGTAACTCGTGTGTCAGTCTGTGTCTGCCTTTGCTCGTCGTGAGCATGTTTCCCTTTGAAGGGATGATCTTTGGTTGATTCTGCAGCACAGACCTCCTCCCTCCATGGACCTGTCGCATCGTGCCTGTTCCAGAGCCTTCATCCGGAGGAGACCTGTTTGCCTCATGACCTCATGATGAAAATCTAAGAGCAGAACTGGGCCTGAGGGTGGACCTGACATCCAGAACTCACTGCTGCTGCTACTCGGCCAGTCTTGATCTTGCTACTGGAGAAGCGAATCTGTGATGTTCATGTGCCCCTTCCCGGGGATGGCTGGTGGGGCCATGCCAGGGGCCCACCCCAGGCACAGGGAAGCATCACGGGGCAGGGGGTGGGTGTGCTTCCTGCAGAGTCTGCTGTTGCGAGGGGGTACTGGGAGCCACAGGGAGCCTTCCCCTGCGCCCTGGCTCAGCTGGGCTCCGGGAGCATCCCCGACAGGTCCCAAAGGGGGCTGAGGAAGAGACATCGGAGGGACCCGCAGCCCTGCACAGCTCGGGCATGGGCCTGACCGGAGCTCCCGGGGACTGACTGGAGCCCGGGGAGCCTGACCGGAGCCCCGGGGACTGACCAGAGCCCGGGGGGCCTGACCGGAGCCCCC